GAAGAGGCTCTTCTGGCTATAATCCAATCATAATCATAATCCAGGAATATGAGCATCACATTGGCTAAGTGGTTAGCACTTCTACCTGGTAGCCCTAGGGTAATTGGTTTCAATCACAGGCATGGCATGTGCCTGCGTGGGTTTCCTCCCACACTCCAAAGACATGCTGGTAGGTTAACTGGCTCCTGTTTAAATTGTCTCTAGTATGTGTAAGTATGAATGTGAGTTAGGGACCTTAGATTATACACTCCTTGAGGGTTAGGGACTGATGTAAATGCATAATATGTATGTAAAGTGCTGAGTAAATTGACGGCGCTATATAAGCACCTGTGACAAATAAATAAAAAATAATATAGTCACCTTTCCTTACATACAGCATTCCATATCTGCCAAAAGCAGGTAAAAATAGACCTGGGTGGGCAGAAATATTACTTGTAGGGGCTTACCCAGGCCTACTGAACCCCCCCCCCCCCCCACCCCCTGCCTTCCCATGCCATATGACAGCTCAAGGACACCTAAGGTAACATAATTCCAAGGCCCAACCAGTCTTGGATATGACAAGGACAGTGAATAATTTGCTCGCCCATACCCAAAAGGATGGGAACATCACTTCTCTTGTGGCATGCAAATGAAACCATGAAGAGGCAAAGGAAAGTTGAGTACATATTGCTGAGGAATGGAGGGGTTAAAGTTTAACTTCAACTGTGAGCCCTCCCTCAGATTTCTCTTCCCCATCCATTGGTCTGGTAACCTGACCAGATGCATCTCCTTTTTTCTTTGAGGGTAAACACTACCTCTGTAGGGATTCTGACCTGGCTGTCACAATACAATAGCAATCGCGTATTTGTCTATACGCACTGTTTAGTGTGGTAGGAATCTGATTTTTTTTCCCTTAAGCTGGCCAGATAGCAGAAGAATTTGATCGTTTTATTCTTCAGATTTTTTTAACATATAAAAAAGTAATTTTAACATATATTTTTACATATATTTGTAAATGCCTTTCAAAAATGTAGTAGTGTATGGCCAGGTTGAGGGCTCCTTCACACAGCATTGCATGCAGTGGGCTGCAGTATGTGGAGAGTTTCCTTTTTTTTTTTTTACTTTATATGAAGTGTCACAAAGATACAAAGCAGAGTGGTGTGCTGCGACATGTGCTGCCTTTCAGTGTGCTATGATAACATGCTACATTTGCATTTTACCACAGCTCACTGTTTTGTTGCAGTGGGAAAGGGGCACATAGAAAACAATTGTTTTGTATGTGTCCTAGTGCAGACTTGCATTGATCCACTGCAGAAAAATGGTTGTCATAATATGTTTGAATAAGCCCTAAACTGTGTAATTTTCATTATAGAAGGGCTAAAATCATACCTCAAGATCCTAGCTAATACCAATGCACCAGTGCCAATACCGAGTATTTTAATGAGTACTCGTACTCATGAAAATACTCCCAATACATTAACTGATACTTTGCGGTGCGATTTGCGTTAATGGACGCAAGTTGCACCACAAAGATTAGCATGCGATTTGAACAGGAATGCGATTCCTGTCCAAATCACATGTGATTTCCCCACTGCTCCAGTGTGTACCCAGGCTTGTCATAACCCGAGTTCACACAGGAGCTGTGGGGGAAACCTCCCTGCAGGCATTCCATGCTGAGTGTCAGTGGAAGGAGAGGGGAGAAAGGGACAGGGATTTAAAGGCCCCGCTTTCTTTTCCCTCCTTGCAGGGATGACAGTTCAGGCTAGACAGAATCTGATTGGTCAGCACCGTGGCAGGATGCCTGCAGGGAGGTTTCCCACACGGCTCTTGTGTGAACACGGGCTATGACAAGCCTGGGTACACACAGAAGCAGTGGGGAAACCGCATGCGATTTAGATAGGAATCACATTCCTGTTCAGATCGCATGCTATTCTTTGCAGTGCAATATGCGTCCACTTACTGAAATCACTGCAAAGTATTGGTACTTCGTATCCGCGAGTACTTGACCAAAAGTATCAGTACTCGTACTAGCCAATAAAAAAAGGTATCAGTGCATCTCTACTAATAACATATTCCCCTTCTGTGCAATAAGAAGATTTACTTTTTTAGATTTACTTTCTTAGCAGTGTAGATTTAGGCTTCATTCACATAGACTATGAACTGGATGTGTGTCTATGCGGCTCGAGCAGCCAGGTGCTGCATTCAGGCAGCCCATGTAAGTGTATGGGGAAGCAGCAGCTGCATGGACACAATCACTCATCCTAATCTGACATGTGTGCGGATGTTCGGAAACATGTACTGTCTGTGTTCAGGGTGGCTCACCTGCACCCGTGTGCCTGTCAAATTGATATCACCAGCACTTCTACAGTAAATATAGAGAGAGCCATACAGGGGATCAGTTCCAGTAATTGCCACCCCACCACCCTCCCTGTGCACCATACATGTCTGCTTGCTTCCTGGCTCCCCGTGTCCCTCACCCCTACAGTGCTGCCGGCTTCCCTCCTTTCCTTCCCCCTTTCCAGCTGCAAGCACACAATGGGATCCTTCAGGATGGAGAGTGGGGGAAGGGGCTGGTAAAAATGTCACATTTACCATCCCCTTCCTTTCCTGAATAAACACCATGAGAGATTGGTACCGATCACTCACTGTGTTCATTCATAACTGAAGCATAGTAAATGGAGCTTTTGTTTTGGGGGGGAGGGTGGGCTGTCAGGCTGGCTGTATGGGGCACTATGGTTTCTTACAGCAGCCCTGGAGGCCCCATCAGTATTTTGCTATGAGGCCCAATGATTTGTAGTTAGGCCTGGATTCCTGTGATATTTGGTGACGTCTGATTGTGTGCTGAGGTAACACTGACAATTATTATTATTATTATACAGGATTTATATAGCGCCAATAGTTTGCTCAGCGCTTTACAATATAAAGGGAGATAATACAGCAACAATACAGTTCAATACAAGAGGGTTAGGAGGGCCTGATCCTGGGAGCTTACAATCTAGAAGGGAGGGGCTGGTGGTACAAAAGGTAGTAACTGTGAGGGATGGACTTGTAGGAGGAATAGAAGATTCCATTATTAGCTGAGGGCAGGATAGGCTTCCCTGAAGAGATAGGTTTTCAGAGATCGCCTAAAAGTGAGCAGAGTAGGCGATAGTCTGATAAATTGGGGTAGAGAGTTCCAGAGGATGGAGGAAGCTCTGGAGAAGTCCTGGAGACGAGCATGGGAGGAGGAGACAAGGGAGCTAGAGAGCAGGAGGTCGTGCGAGGAGCGGATAGTACAGTTTGGGTGATATTTGGAGACAAGATTGGTGATGTAATTTGGGGCAGGGTTATAAATGGCTTTATATGTTATTGTTAATGTTTTAAATTTTATCCGTTGGACAATGGGAAGCCAGTGGAGGGGCAGAGAGGGGTAGCAGATACAGAATGGTTAGTAAGGTGTGGTAGTTGCTGTATACGTAACATTCAGATGTTCTTTTTTCCTCATATCCTCTATGAAACCAGCACATTGCTGACGCGTAGTCACCACATGCCCGTGACAGGAATGACATTTGGCACAGTACGGGTTAAGCCGGCATCTGTTTCTGTGAGTCTTTTTCTGTGTAGGATAGAGATAAGCTCCTGGTTCCTGACACAGGGAGGAGGAGAGTGAGGCAGTGAAGGGGCTGGTCAGCCATTGAGCAGTTATAAACACACTATCAGCCATGCTGTACTTTGACCAAGACATCTCTATAAATACACTGGGAGGGGAAGAAGTGTCAGGCCGGCGGAGCTGAGGCTGTGTACCAGACATGGAGAGCGCAGATAACAGAGTGGAGTCTGTGGTAGAAGTCCTCTTCTCCAAAAACCGCCAGGAGTGTCCTGAACCAATAAAAGCTGAAGTACAAGGTAGGACCTGTTGTCTTCCAATGCTGCCTCACTCATTCTCTGTACGCAGCACAGGACAACAACATATTCCAATCGCTATCTTTTACCATTTGTAACATTTTTCAGTTTCCTACTACAGTTTGCACAGCCTTAAATATTGCCGTCGGGTTTATTTATTACGGCGGTGCAAAGTGCAGTGATGACACTTTATTGCAGGTATTTATATCGCACCAACAATGTACACAAAGCTTTACATATTGTACGTTCACAACAGGCGCTTACTATCTAAGGTGTCCGTTTATGAACCAGCGGTAATAGATCGCTGCTCAGTTTCTCCGGCATTCTCAGAGAACACAGTTCTCCTGTGAATGCCGTTTATGAAGCAGTTTTCCGAACGAAGGGAGAACGGTCTCCAAACGCTGGAAAACGGCTGATTTTACTATAATCTCGTGAGATTACAGTAAAAGATCAGTTTACTAAACAGAGGTAAATTATCGCTGCTAAGGTGTCCGTTTATGAACCAGCGGTAATAGATCGCTGCTCAGTTCTCCGGCATTCTCGGAGAACACAGGTCTCCTGTGAATGCAGTTTATGAAGCAGTTCTCCGAACGAAGGGAGAACGGTCTCCAAACGCTGGAGAACGGTCTACAAACGCTGTAAAACGGCTGATTTTACTATAATCTTGCAAGATTACAGTAAAAGATCAGTTTACTAAACAGAGGTAAATTATTGCTGCTTAGTTTGCGGTCCCTCTGATTCTCCAGCTCTGGGCTGGAGAATCTGGAGGGAGAACACAATCTCCAGTGAAGGGCTGACATGATCTCCTGAGTGTCATAAACTGTGAATGACCAGAGAATAGCTGAGATCCTTTGAATCGCAGCTATTCTCTGTGTCATAAACGGACACCTAAGTGCGATTTCAGGTGCGATTTGCAAATTGAAATCGCATCTACTGAATGTGAATGTTAGTGTCTTAAAGCGGAGTTCCACCTGAAAAAATAAATGTCAGCAGCTACAAAAACTGTAGCTGCTGACTTTTAAAATGCAGACACTTAGGCTGGCCATACATTATACAATTTTCTTGAGATTTTTGCAATAGATTTACCAAAAACCATATAATAGGAGGTCAAACCTGAACAACACAACAGTTGTATCAAATTAGGCAGGCCCTTGCACTACATAGTTGAAGGTAAATCTAAATGAAATTGGGCAAAAATTGGACAGAAAATTGTATAGTGTATGGCCAGTCTTACCTGTTCCTCACCATCGCCAGCATCTTCAGTGCGGGCACCTGGCTGTGACAGCTTGCGGCTTCACAGCTGGGTGCCCACTGCGCATGCGCGAGAAGCACTGCGCTTTGTGAATGGCCCCGTAGTCTTCTGGGACCTGTCACGTGTCCCAGAAGACTACAGGGAAGGAGGACAACGTCCGCTTCCGATCACCTTAGGCAATTGCAGCAGATGTGGGAGCGGGTACCTGACAAATTTGGGTACCCGCTCCCCAAAGGTGCCAATCCTTAATGGGGAGCGGGGGAAAAAGGCTTAAAGTGGAACTTTCCCTTTTGGGTGGAACTCCATTTTAACATGTGCGATTTTCTGCAGCACGATTTCTAAAGTAGTTCTTGCATTACATTTTCTGCAGTTTTGTTGAGATTTCACAAACATAGAATACAATGGAAATCGCACTGCAAATTGCAAGAAATCATTGAAAATCTTCACAAGTAGTAATAAAGTCTTCAGAAATCTTGCTGAAATTGCACACAAATGGCGGGATTTTAAATCGCAGTAGTGTGACCGCTGACTAAGGCTAGGTTCACACGTCAGCAGGTTGCATTTCAACCGTTTCTGCATTGGGTTTTGCGTTTTTGCCACATTCTTGCCGTGTTTTTGATGTGTTTTGCTGGGGAGGTTTATTTTTTTATTGTTCTTGTTGCTAGGCAAATTTAAATGCAAAACACATCAAAAACATGGCAAAAACGCAGCAAAACCACAATACATGCTTTTCTGCAGCGTTTCTATTGTCCATAGAACCAAAAATGCAACATTTTGCGTTTAAATAGTCCCTGATCCTTTCTAAAAAACACACTGGGTGAAAACGCATAGATGTGACCGTATCCCATAGGAAATCATGTTAAATGGACTGTACTGCGTTTCTGCCGAACGCTGCAGAAAACACTTATGTGTGAACCTCAGGGTACAGGCTTATTCATACAAGCAAACCAGGCCGATCCTGGCACATTGCACTGCGTACCGATTTTCCTTTTTTTTTGTTAGCACTATATTGAAATGACACAAATGAGAGATCTATTCAATGCAGTGCCATTATGATGCTTTTTTTGCTGCGCTGAAAAAAAAGCAGTGCATGTAGTTCAGGCAACGCAGTGGTGTGGAATTACGTCATTAAAACAAGGCAAGTTGTCTTCTCTTTGCGTTGGAACTGCACCAGGCAATGGCTGCTCAGCACAGAATGCATGAAGGTAAAAAAACATTGAGCCTACTACTTTACAACTACTTTAAGTAACTCCATATCAATTCAGTATTTTGAATGACTATTTTAATGCTTACCTTTTTTGGAGAGACCCTAACAATTTTGCCTTGTTATTGCATAATGTATCTTTAGTATTGTGTTACACAAACAGATAAATCAATGCTCCCTCTGACTCTCTGTATGTTGGGCAAATCTCTTACATAACAATCTTAGGCTCCATGTACACTGCAGCTGATAAACTCACGCTTAGGAGCTTTTCTGCGTTTTTTTCAGCAGCCCCTGAACTCTCCCTAATGTTCTCTTATGTGCCCATGTACACATCTTCGTTTACAGGCAGTTGAGTTTACAGTAATTTTTTTGAATGCACCAAACTTGCATTCAGGAGTAGATTTTATCAGCATTTTAAACTTAAAACGCGTGTAAACGTGGTTAACCGCGTTTATAAGTGTTTCCATTTGGAAAATTTTTTGAACTCTTCCATTTCCAGATGCTGTCCAGAGCCTTTTTTCATCATGAAAAATGCATGTAAAGTGTTTTCCCAGTACGCAAATGGTCCTGGTACACCATACTTTGAGGTTTTGCATGAAAGAAAATATGTTAGACACTGCTGCAATAATTTCTGCACAGAAATGAGCTGGAACACATCCAAACACCAAAAAAGAAAAGACAGCTAATCTCAACAAATGCTGCTCTCTCTATTTCTCTCAAAAAGTCTGAAATAGTTAATTTGTTACTGTTTTTCACAGCATTCTGGGCATTTTGGAAGGTCTCCTGAGGTTATCTTTAACTCTCTTGCCGTTTATAAACAGCAGGGTGGTGGCAGTCCAGGGGCGGGTTGCCATTCCTAAACGGCACCCACCTTTTCTAGCTGTGCGCGCTCCCTGGGAGCTCGCACCACCGCGATCCGGTGCCCACTGTGTCCTCCGGACACAGTGAAACACCGATCGTCGGACGGGACCTCTGTACGAGGTCCCGATCATGTGATCACTGATTGGCGAATCAGTGATCACATGCAAAGTAGTAAGCAAGATGTCACTTGTGACATCATTACTTACTACGTGTGAAATCTGTGAATGATCACAGAGGTCACATGGTACAAGACTATTCACAACAGCCTTGTACCATGTGACAAGCTGTGACCAATCACAGCTCACTCAGTACTTCTCAATGACTGCAAGAATGCAGACAGAGAGAAAGAGAAATGATTGCTTTTACATCCTATATGGGTGTAAAAGCAATCAGTGTAAAAAAAAAAAAAAAAAAATCTTCATCACCCCCCACAAGTAGTACAGTGTCACCATGGTGACACTGTACTGCTAGGGTGACAGTATGTAAAAAAAAAAAAAAAAATAAAAAAATAATAATATAAAAAAAATAAAAATGTTTAAAAATTATAATTTTTGGTTATAAACTAAATTGGATTTTTTTTTTTTACTAAAAAAATAACGGAATAAATTTTGGCCAAGATTTATGATGAAATATTATTTATTTGCAAAATTTTATTTAAAAAAAAACACTTTTTTTCAACATTTTTGGACTTTTTCATTTACATAGTAAAAAAAATAAAAATCCCAGCGGTGAATAAATACCACCAAAATAAAGCTTTATCTGTCTCAAAAAAATGGTAAAAAATTCATATGGGTACAGTATTGCATGACCGCGCAATTGTCATTCAAAGTGTGATAGCACTGAAAGCTAAAAATTGCCCTGGACAGGAAGGGGGTAAAAGTGTCCGGACAGGAAGTGGTTAAAAACGCTTCTAAACACAAATGCTGATAAACGCGGTATGCAAACGCGGCTAAACAGACGTTTTTTAAACCTACGTTTTCCAGCAGTCAGTTTCCATCATTCAGAAGTGTTCCGTGTACATGGAACCTTAGCCACACAGAAAATGAAACATGAAGCTGCATTATCACAAACACTGTTTTCTGATGTAATGGTAATGCTTCAATCATCAAGAAGAGAAATGTTTCAGCCATTACTAATACCCATAATGTTTCAGCAGAAACATTTAATGTGTTTTTAAGTCATGACCACTTTTTCATGGATTGTTAACACTAAATCTATAAAACATTTGCAGTGTTCTCACATTATGGCATTCTTCATATTGATTATTATACACTACTCAAAAAAATTAAAGGAACACTTTGAAAACACATCAGATCTCAATGGGGAAAAATCTCATGCTGGATATCTATACTGATATGGACTGGATAATGTGTTAGGAATGTAAGGATGCCCCATTGTTTCATGGACATGAAAATTATCAACCTACAGAGGACTGAATTCAAAGACACCCCGAAAATCAAAGTGAAAAAATGATGCAGCAGGCCAGTCCATTTTTCTGATATTTCATTGCAGCAACTCAAAATGGTCCTCAGTAGTTTGTATGGCCCCCGCGTGCTTGTCTAATGAGACAACGGATGGTGTCCTGGGGTATTTCCTCCCAGATCTGGACCAGAGCATCACTGAGTTCCTGGACAGTCTGAGGTGCAACCTGGCAGCATCGGATGGACCGAAACATGATTTCCCAGAGGTGTTCTATTGGGTTTAGGTCAGGCATTAGGTCAGGCGAGCGTGGGGGCAATTCAATGGTATCAATTCCTTCATCCTCCAGGAACTGCCTGCATACTCTCACCACATGAGGCCAGGCATTGTTGTGTACCAAGAGAAACCCAGGACCCACTGCACCAGCGTAGGGTCTGGCAATGGTTCCAAGAATTTCATCCCGATACCTAATGGCAGTCAGGATGCCATTGTCTAGCCTGTAGAGGTCTGTGTATCTCTCCATGGATATGCTCCCCCCGGCCATCACTGACCCACCACCAAAACGGTCATCATGCTGACGATGTTACAGGCAGCAAAACATTCTCCACGGCTTCTCAAGACCGCTTCACATCTGTCACATGTGCTCAGGGTGAAGCTGCTCTCATCTGTGAAAAGCACAGGGCGCCAGTGGTGGACCTGCCAATTCTGGTGTTCATTGGCAAATGCCAATCGAGCTCCATGGTTCCAGGCAGCGAGCACAGGACCCACTAGAGGACGTCGAGCCTTCAGGCCACCCTCATGAAGTCTGTTCTTGATTGTTTGGTCAGAGACATTCACACCAGTGGCCTACTGGAGGTAATTTTGTAGGGCTCTGGCAGTGCTCATCCTTTTCCTCCAGTCCTGCTGATGGGTTAAGGACCTTCTATGGCCCTGTTCAGCTCTCCTAGAGGAATTGCACCAAAGCAGCTGAAACTGATTAACAAGCCCCTCTGCTTCTTAACTGACCAATATCTCAGGAGGTTAATTAACTTGATGCTATGCTCTGATAAAAAAAAGTGTTGCTTTAATTTTTTTGAGCAGTGTACTTATTTTACCACTGTGGTCAGTGATGAAAGTAGTGACCACTGGAAAAATTTAATTACCACCATTCCCTGTCAACAAGTAAGCAAGTAAAGACTTGTACTACTGTGGTCTAGAATACCCCATATATAATTTTAAAAAATGCTTTGTTAATACATATAAGAAACTGTTTAAATAATGTTTAAGCAAACTATTCTGAAATAAGCCAGCTGTGGATCAGGAACTAATGTAGTTGGGATAAAAAGTGTGAATTTTTTATATCTTTTGCATTGTATTGAATAGGTTTGAAAACGTATAATCAGTCTATTGTGGCTTCAGCACTATGGACAGCACAGAACATACTGCTGCCTTCTACTCATTTTAAGTAGACATCTTTTGAAATAAATAGGAAATCACCACCATGTGATCTTTGTTTTTCACAAATATTTCTAATGTAAAACCAGCCTATTGACATAATTTGACATCATTTAATAAATACTGATTAGCGATTAGCTATTTAAGTTTGGTACTCCCAAAACATGAAGTCATGTGTTCCATGCCTGCCACTAATGAGGGCTAAAAGATCTGAATTAGCTGTTTACAAGTGGTAATACATTACACTCTGTAATTACGCTGTATCTTTGCTATTCGCTGGATGTACTATTAGCTACACAAACATAAAGGAGTGCTTTGTATAACTGTTCCCTGTGTAGCGCTACTGCTGGAGGAGCCGCTGATGTTTAACAGGTTCTTCCCCAAACAGTGCAGAGGTTGCCCATCACACAGTCAACAGTCCATTAGCTCTGGGTCCATTAAACAGTCTAGGGGATATCTTTTTAATTTTATTTGCTCATACAACTTATAACAGGAGAGGGATTGGGATGGTATGGGATACTCCAGAACTACTGACTTGTAACAGGAGGACAAACTCAGCTAAATGAAACTTCTTTGAACAGTCTTTAAATCAAAAACAAAGTGGAAGGCCAGAATGGAGACCCAGTAGAAACAGTCTCAGAAATAGCTGCAACTGGCACCCCAGAAACACACAATCACTGACTCTTGAGCTTGGATCAGTACTTACAATATCCCAGGGCAGCTGCACATCCCCCAGCTGCCACCAAGCACTCCTTTAGTGAGTTAATCAAACCAAATCCTCAGCTCCAGACAAAATTAGGAATAGGCCCCCTAGCTCTGCCACAACTGGGACCTTGATGACCATCAGCCAACTCTAGCAGGACTGCCTCAAAGGGGCAGCAGCCTCTGAGGCTTGGAAATCCTCCAGCAGGACCAGACCCAGGCTGTTCCAGGTTTCTGAATATATATGTCCCCCTACATCCACCTACTGGGCACACCTCCCTAGGGATTGGCTGAGGCACCATGAATATTCACGGTGCCCATTTGACTTTCCTGACCCTCTATGCTTTAGAAGCCTCCAGAATGCAGGAAAAAAAATCGAACCAGGAAACTGTGAAATCCAGAACAGCCCAAATAAATTAATAGCTGCTCCAATGACTACAGAGGAGATAAAAACAAAATTTTCCTAATATCTTATTAAAGGAAGGTGTCACTTCAGTATTCTTTTTATAATCAATCTTTATTAACATTTTCAAAATTTACAAAAGTGTCACCAAATACATTCACATTGGCCAGGCAAACAAAGAAACAGGAGGGTAGGGGATAGGGGAAATAAGGCAGAGTAAAACAAACCCCCTGCCCAAGAAACAAAAAAACAACACCCGGGTGGGTATAAACAACAACATAGGGGTATACAATGTATCAAATCTACAGAAAAATAATCAATCATCTGATATCTCAGAGGAATAGTGCATCCATCCATGCCATAAAGCTTTAAATTTCTCCCTTTGATTCCTAACCATGTGCACCCATTGCTCAGCTTCCATAATTGCATCTACTTCCCTCTTCCAGTCAAAAAGTGTTGGCCAAGCAGATTATTTCCAAAATCTAGGAATTAAAGATTTAGCTGCGTTCAGTAGATGGGGAGTGATGCTTTTTTTATACAACTTCATAGAAGATGAGGTCACGTGAAAGAGGAGGCAGAAGGGAGATCTTTCTATATGGCTTAATGTCAGTTTCTGGATCCAAGGAGTGATTGTATCCCAAAAGGCTGCAATTTGGGGGGGCAGGTCCACCAAAGGTGAAGAAAGGTATCACGTTGATCGCACTGGCAGTGGGGAATATCTGAGCTAAATGGGATGGGGTTTTATACCATCGAGTGAGAAATTTATAACAGGACTGGATACGGGGAACTGATGGAGGAGGTATGCGTCAATTTAATATGCCTATGTATCTGAGGAGAGGTAAGTTCCAAGCCCAGTTCCTTCTCCCATTCCCTTTCGTAATACGGAACCGATGTAGAGTGCATACTCAACACTAGTTTATACATTTGGGATAATTAATGTCTAGAGTTTTGGGAGTCTAGTGCACATAGATTCGTATGGCCTAAGGGCATGTCTAGGTTGCAGCTTAGGTTTCAACCCAGTTAAGAAATTAGTCAGTTGAAGGTGCCTCCAATCCACCAGTGGGAAGGTCCCATATGTAGATTGTAAGACATGGATAGGCAGGGAGGTGGATAGGCAGTTGGGCACCCTGAGGGGTAAATTTGGCACAGGAAAAATCTCCATCCACTCCCCAGGAGCTAAAGAATCCAAGATCCTCTCCTGGTGGGAAACAAGGGTAACCCCCCAGTGGAGCTAGTGGGGATGTCCCAGGAGCATATAATCTGGACCCATTCATTCTATCCCAAACTATGGTTCGAGTCAGGGGTGACGTCCAGTCAGATAGTCCTCTGGAAGCAGTCAGGATCCAA